TGCATGAAGCACTCACTGTCTGCAGATGAAGTTTGTGACGAGTCCAGTCTACAGTTAGCAGCAGACAGACCGGTGGCTTTAGAGACGGATCGCCTCCATTTACCCAAACCAGCCATAGTCCCACTGCTTTGAGCCTCGCTGGCAGTTATTGTGGCCCTTCACTGATCTGAAAACCGGCTCAGTGTTTTTAATTTATCCCGGCGTGCCACCATCGTTTGGAAAATCTCAGTAAACCAAGTCACTCCAAATCTTGGCTCATCTGTTAATAATATCATCCAGGGCGGTTCATGTAGCTCCACTGGCCAATCCTGACTGCTACACTCACATTCACGCCCAGAACGGTGTCGGCACCCAGTACTACCTTCGAGGAGGTAGTACTGGGTGCCGATGGGGGTGRGTTCTGATAGTGGAAAGACCAAAAACTGGTGTGGRGTGGGGTGGAGCCAAACAGAACAGAGTAGGTGTAAAACCAGCTATTTTAATGTGACAGGACCTTTACTAGTAGAACAGCACCCTGTTTTGTTTGGTCTGAATGGCAATAATTAAAGTCACATTGACTGATCATTTATTTAAACCTGTAAAACTTGTTCTTTTAACAGGTTTCAGGCGATGACAAAGACCGTACAGCATCAAGTTGTCCATCGGGGCGCGTTTGATAATTGATGTTTTGATATTTCATCTGGCCTTTAGTTTTCTTTCTACAAAACTGTTTTGCTTGATTAGTTTTGTTTTTACGAGAAAAATGTTACCAATTCTTGATAAAACAAGGGCTGGTTATGTTTCAGAACACTGTTTGTGCTCTTCTGCGTTTAAACTTGTGCCAACCTTGTCATTGCAGGAGTTTAGTGGCTCATCGCCTAAAAGGAGGCGAGCAGAAGAGAAGGATGAAGGGATTGGTTCTCCGGACGCGCTGGACGAAGAGAAAGTGGAGGAGCTGAGGAGGGAGATGTTGGAGCTGAGGCAGCAGCTGGATAAGGAGCGATCGGCTCGCATGCAGTTGGAAGAACAGGTCTGGTTTCTAACAAAACACCTTATTCACTTATGCGTGAGAACTTTCCTACAACCACTATTATTATTATCTAAAAATTTAATAAAATACTTTTTATACACAGTTAGTTTTTTCACAAAATACAAATGCATCAGGGACACAAAGGGCTCTTATCCTGCAGTCAGAGTAGTAAACAATCAAATACCAGAAAGCTGACAGGTTTATAAGTTCGGCAGCCGGTTCCTGATCTGCTCACATCCTGGATTTACCTGAACAGCAGGTTAAGGTAAAGCCTGAACAGGTGCTGAAGACAAACAGGAACTTAAACTGACAGGTAACATTGGTGGGTTGCAGGTGTGTGATGTTTCCAAATCACCCAAACAGAGGGGGGCTACTTGTTTTATAAAAACATACATTTACGTGACTCATCTTCAGTTATGGTAATAAATTTACACATACATGAATATATAATTACCC